ACTTGCAAGAGATTATCCTGATTTGGAAAGCCCCCAAGATATGTTTGACATGAAATTCTTCATGAAGAATCCTTACCCCTTCTTTAAATTTGCACGAGTAAGTGCAATTGCTTGTCTAGTAATGCATTTCAATTATGTGAGATATTGTTCACTGCCACTCGACTTTCCAATTACTGCTGCAACGTTCTCGCACTGCCGTTGTGCGTCAGTGTTGAGGTTCCTTACAATCGTAATTGGTATCAGCATGCTTGTGTCTGCTTAGCTAGTTTTGCCACACTTTTAGCCATCGTTCAATTTTCAAGACTAATGCACTTCATGCTGTGCCTATGTAGGAACTATTCCCCGGTCAGTTCAAGCCCTCGTTTGCGCATCGATTCATCAAGTTACTGGAAAGGAAGGGCAAACTTCTTCGTAACTACACACAAAATATCGATACGCTGGAACAGGCCGCTGGAATCACCAGGGTCATTCAGTGTCATGGTAAGGCCTATTGCCTTTTCACTGCTACAACAACCAACTACCTCACAAGATTCTGTCAAATAAATATCTGCAGATATCACTAGAGGCACTGGGTCAACTCCAATGTCTCACATATATTCCCGGGCATAATGGTGTTGTTTCTGTTCCAACCTTAATTAGCTAAACCCGTATTTGTTGCCACAAAATGTGGCATTACAGTGCATGTGAGTTGCACCAGATAATTGCTCTTTTCATTCCTCATTTTCCACGAACTTCTTGAAACCGCATTGCAATTGGAGTTTCTGTGGTTCCCCTTTAAGGATCCTTCGCTACGGCGAGCTGTGTAACTTGCCAGTACCAGGTACCAGGTGAGGCTGTTCGTGAAGCAATAATGAGCCAGCGTGTTCCCCGCTGTCCTCGATGCTGTCCCGACCAGGGCCTGAGTGGCTCACCTGTGCCAACCACCCTCACAAACTGTCCCGCCGCGTCGACAACCTCCGGCATAATGAAGCCGGACATTGTGTTCTTCGGGGAGGGTCTTCCCTACGAGTTCCACACATCCCTCCAAGAGGATGTCCACCACGCCGATCTCATTCTCGTCATAGGATCCTCCCTCAAAGTTGAACCTGTCTCCCACATACCAGGTGAGCTGGCTGCTTTAATTCCCTCTCACGAAAGATTAGTCCGCTTAACCAGGCCGACACTTCACGTCTAAGTTTTGGGAAAATCTCTGCGAAATGGGTCAAAAGGGCACGGCACATAGATGTGCTTAGGTATTGTGCATTTGTTCTTGCTTCCTCCTGTGGCGCAAATGTAGGCTTTTGAAGAGAACATTTCGGCACCAACGTAGGCAACACACCTGTTTTCAGGATTGTTGGTTTTTGCGGTGCTTCAATAAGTTTCATTCCACGAATCAGCTCTCTCGCTCTACCCATCATTAACCCCACTCCATCTGCATTTTATTTTTCCACAGATTCCGTAGTCCCCGAAGTGCCGCAGATACTCATCAATCGTGAGTCCCTTACCAGCCACAACTTCGATACAGAACTCCTCGGCGATTGTGATGTCATCCTTGAGGAGCTCTGCAGTCGCCTCGGCTGGAATCTCGACGAAGGCACGGACTCGGCATCGGTAGGTTGCACCCGCAAAATACGCTGACTTCCTTTTCTATAAATGGCGACGTTTTGTAGGTCACATCGTTGTAAACATTTTGTAGGACTTTTACACAGGCTTTGATCCGCAAATCTGCTTCTTATCAGTCAGTCGAATGCATTAGCATTAGCACATCGTACAAACGCCGACATGGGGTGTAAGCATGACTTGCAAGAATGCATTAGCACGTCACGTTCCATCTACTTCTGACCATCATCTTCTGATTTGGGCAATTTCAGGTGTTAGTGACATCGATTCCATCCACACCACACTCTATGTTAGATTTCAGAGCAAATTTACCACCGGATCTCGTGCAGAGACCTCTTCACCCTTGTCAACCTGAGTGCGAGTTAGAAGTCAGAAATAGCACCTTCTGTGCGCCTTGTTTTCGTTAATTTGGGAAATTGACTCGAGCCTCATCGAAACCTGTTTCTTGCGAAGTAATGACGTTGCCTCTACTAACGTTTACATTCGCAGTTGTGCTTGGCTTTAATTTTACATGTCTCCTTGCTAAACCTGTCCGAGCCTCGTGGCACGGATGGGCTCTATCGTGAGCTGCTCGCATTGGACTCACAATTGTAGCTCATGTTGCCTAATTCTTGCCTTGGCGGCTGCGTTTACACGAATTCCATCTGTGCTGGTGGACGTGGTCAGCGCACAGTTATCTCACGCGTTTTTGCAGCATTCTTGTCCCTGGAACCGCCAAAAGCGTGTTTGACCACCAATAAGCGAGCACATCCCATGATACCTATCAATGCGAATACAAATGCACATGTTGTCGGCGGGCTTCCATCATCGCACGACGTGGGCTCAGTGCTATGCATTTTGGCACTGTCGAGCCTCCATTGAAATATTCCACGTGAGACGATATTCACGGCTAGTTGAGGCTTGGCCTAACCACCTATTTATTCGACTTGAAACTCGCCTCCACACACGTGGTTGGACCCCGTAAAAAATCGATCAACCCTTAGTTATGCTTAACGGGCAACGTGGTCTGTGCACGTTGGACAATTCGCCGACAAACGAGGTTCCTACATGCGCCATGGAAGCAAATATCACCAGGCTGTGTGGTGTTTGGCCCCCATTGCCTTGGCGTCGAGTAATTATACTCTTTATGATCACCGAAGAGTGCTAGAAGCCGTCGTGAAGACGTTATTAGTGTTCGTGTCGTGGAGTTGATGAATTGATCAAGATGCCTCAAAGTGGTCCAAATAGGCCACTAATACTGGTGTGTTTGAGGGGCCCATGCCTCGATGTCCCTCACTGCAGTCCAATTACGCCACGTCGCTTCCTGCGAAGAGTGCGTGAACTTCAGATACTACTGTTTGCCAGCTAGCTCAACTCATCGTGCCTCGGTATTTAATGTCGTATGTTCTTATCAGTTAATCGCTGCATCAGCTATTGGAGTGAAATGGTCAGTAGAACTCGGGTGAACTAATGTCTGGTTGGCGAAATGCCTGGATGGAGTGGCAGGGGTTGTTCGCGCACAGCGATGGTGGGTCCGAATGAAGCAAGTCTGTCTGACCACGCGGTCATATTAAGCAACTGAGTACAAGGTCAATCTGCCGGTTCTAATTGCTTTTGCACATTCAGTCACCACCCAAGGACACGGAGCTCCTGTCAGAGGAGGATCTTCATCTGGTTCTTGCCACCGCCTTGTCTCATCGTTTTGCCAACAACGAGTCGCTCGAGGCTGTCGCAAATGGCTCATCACCGCCAATTGCTCCTGATAACGCGGCGCCTCGACAGGAACCACCAGACTGCAGTAAAAGTGCTCAAAGCACAATCAATGTGGATGACGAGAGCGGCGAGGACTCGGACAGCGGTGAATCTTTCGCTTTTGCGGATTGCAAACTGGTCTTCAACTTGGCCGATTATTTGCCAGGTTAGTTTCACTTGGCCTGCTTACACTGCTGCATGTTTCAACTAGGGCACTTACGAAATGCAGTGCTTCACTTGCATGCACTTGGTGATTGCCATCTTTGCGTTCTGCCTTCTTCGTCTCTGTAGAACGCGGTTACACCAAGGTTCCGCCAAACCAGTACGTCTTTAAGGGTGCCGAAGTGGGATTCGTTTATGAAGTAGCAAAAGACATTTTACGCAGCCAGGGAGCGATTGCTCTGCCTGAGAACTCAACCCATCTGGCCTCCAGAGCAAACACATCGTCCACTACCAGATGCAATCATTCGTCGACCGGCGACGTCTTCATGCGGCATTTGCTGCGTCGGTGTGCGATGGATGCAGAACTCCAGCGTCATCGGGAGGCGCGACGCAATGGAGTAGTCGGTGATCTTGAGGTCATCGACTGCGATCTGCCATCGTCGTCATCGTCATCGTGCGGTGAAGCGAAGACAGTGAAGAAGCCGGCCACCGCTAAGGCCAGGCGGGCACACCGGACGGAGGAGGAGGAGGAGGAGGCAGATGGGCTCCAGCCAACAACCAGCGCTCCCCCCTTAAAGAAACGGCGAAGGTGCAGCAGTGAGGTCGCTGATGACTAAGACGGCGATGCCGCCACCGCCGCAGCCGCAGCCGCGGCCGCCTCGTCCATGGGAAAACCGTCGATGTCTAAGTTGTGCATAGTATGGGGTTTGTAAGGCCCCGCCCATCTCAGCCTCGCATGAACTCGATCTCGCTCTCTATCTCTCGACGCTATTTATGGCACTTCACGCACACCCAAACACACACCCACATGTTTTACGTATTCATTGTCAATACAGTGTCCCCCTACACACTGCCTGGTCAGCAAGTAGTAGTTGAATTAACCCAAAGAAGCCGAAAGTGTGCTAATGTGTTTAAGGGAAACGTGGGCAAGTCGTAGGACATGTTTCGACTTATCTACAGCTTCACATTTCTCAGCAATCTTGTGAGTGGTTTCGCAGAATGTTAGCGAATCATTCTACCATCAAGAGACGGCGCATGATGTGTTTTCTAAATGTGTTAGGAGGTTGTTCTAATCGCGTGTACGTGTGCTTCGAGTGGTTATCGCTGGTGGATTTGAGGGTGGGTGAGTAGAATGATTCTAGTCACTTGGATACGCCTGTGCGCGAGGTATTGCCTAGGTAAGCTGTGAATCAGAGTAGGTAAGCGAGACGAGGCGCTCGTTTCCTGAGTTCAAACCTGTTTTGGTTCATGCATATTTGTTGACCAGGGTAGTGCTCGACTGCCGTATACACCTTCACCATTGCTTGTGCCTGCGGAGGCAGTTTTCGCACAACTCCGCTGCTTCATCCTTCCAGTCAATCCCGCAATGGCAATTTCCTTCAATAGATCAACTTGTTGTACGTGCATATGTGTAATCTAGCGACAAAAATGCAATGCCAATTACCATGGAACTTACTAACACGAAAGCAGTGATTACCAAGCACAACATCGGCATTGGTTTTGGTAATAGCATTTTCTGTTAGCTGAATCCGTCACCACCAATGAGTCTTATTCATTGCTGCATATTCTAATCGTCATCTTGTCCAACGAGGACGGTTTTGAGGCAAAGCCCTCTAAACTGTTTGTCTGATGATGATGACGATGATGAATATGATGATGATCGTCATCCAGATGGGATGATGTTTTTTCCAACTGAATTCTGGTGAACCTACAAGCAGCGGTTACGTGCATTGTGCAGGCCGTCGAAACGGGTGAATTGATTCTGCTGGTGAATTCTTGCTGATGATACCACAAAAATGGTCTCCCCATTACTAACGGAGCAAACTATGTAGATTTAACTAACAGGAAGTAAATTTTAACGGTTTTTACGTGAAGTGGTGATATGAATGGGGAACAAGTCAACACACATCCAACTCTAATGAAGGTTTAGACTCGAACCTGCAGGCAGTCCATCATTCTCCTAGACGGTTCACTACGAAATTGAATTGCGTCGTGGTCGCATACGTACGTGCGTGAGTCAGCAATGTCACCCTACAAATATCTCCATCTCTGCTCATCCATCTGGATTCCCCAGGCTGCGTTCTCCCATGATATACTCTCTCCTTTTTTGAAACAGTATAAAACTCTCTACACAAGCTCCTGTCCTTATCGTGAACGCGATAGTGCATCTCGCATTCGAATAGGATTTGTAGTACCGTGTATCTGTGCGTGTGGCTCTGGTTACGCCTTAGTGGTAACCTGACTGCTGTGTTAGCTTTCTACTGGATTAGGTAAGAAATTTCAAACAGTCTTACTCATATCCTCAACCAATCAAATTTATATTCACCATGGAACTTTGCAACCTAAATCAGTTTATTTTTATATTTGAGGGCGAAACCTATCTAACGAAAAATTCTGTCTCTGTAAGCCTTTGAACACCTGCTTCAAAGCCAAGCATTTGATCAATGTTTGTTGTGGGCAATTACCGTCGGAATTGTCTGAAAGAACGTAGTGATGAACATGTCACAAAATTGTAGTTTTAGACAGTTTTGTGATTTTCCGTGAACATCGGGAATGGTTAAAACATCTCTCAATGGCAGTAGCACGATGTCAGTTTTTATATGCACTTGATGCAACTTGTTCATGCATCAAGAAAACTTTGTCCACCGGTGCCTGCGTAATGTAAATTAAGTTAGGTACATTGAAGTAGTTTTTATTGAAACCTTGTTGGTGCATTTTTTAATGAAAGTAGATCAACCTCTTTCATGGATATGTGATTTCACTGCCTATACCAATCACGTACAACAGACTGCGAATATTGGTCATTGTCGGACAGATTGGCACTTGGACATTAAGCAAGTAGATGAGGCGAAAATGGGAGACAAAACATGTCACCTACCATAGAAACATGTTCTGATTTGAATCAAATTGAATTCACTTCAATCTTAACTTTTTACAAAACTAGGATTGTTTTAAAATTGCTTGACTTTTCTTTTTTTTAGCCAGTAAAGCAGGTTTTTAGACTCTTCCACGCATTACCAAATCAAGTCAAATACGCCTACATTTCACTTTGCATTCATTAAAAACTAAATTGTCATGTTTGTCGCCAAGTTTTTTAAAGTCTGCTTCAAAAGTCACTCATTTAAATGTGTCTCCTAACGCGATTACATGAAATTTCTAGATTTATCTCCACAGGATTTGACTAAGGGTAAATATTTCGAAGGATTGCAAAAAATTCGTATTTCCTTAACAGTTTGTCACAATTTACTAAGGTTCTTTTGGGATCACAGCGTGGCAAATATGGGTCATAATTGATGGCAACAGCACGACATGTACAAGGATTGCCAAAGTTCGTGCCAATTTTGAATTCATTTTTAGTACAACACATTTTTCATGTTAAAACACACTCTGCTAATCATGTGCATGTCCAAACCCAAACTTTTTTTACTATACCAAAAATTTATATGCACTCAACTTATCAAAATCAAAATACATGAAATCAAATAAGCACCAGTTCTTAGATTCAACCGTTCTACTGTATTTGGTCAAAATTAAAATTAAGTCTTTGTAAGTTAAATGCTTTTGAAATTACGTACCTTTGTTACAACATACTGCCAAATTTCGCTTCGTGTTCATTTCGCTATTGCTTTGGAAATTTAATGAACTATGAAATTTAACTATCGGCAGTCAATGCGAGTAGGGTAATTGCTGACATACCTCTCTGCTGCAACAATTTTCAAAAAACCGCTTTGGAGTTACCTGAAAACATGACCTTGCCATTGAAGGGAGTCCAACTCGTTCACCACTTTAAACATCCGAAAGCAATTATTTTAAAAGTTAACTATTTCATGTACCAGTTATTAGGCATTTTTAATTTTTTTTTCCTATATAAAATTTATATGCATTCAACTTATCAAAATCAAAATACATGAAATCAAATAAGTACCAGTACATAGATTCAAATATTCTACGGTATTTGGTCAAAATTAAAATCGTGTCCTTGTAAGTTAAATGCTTCTGAAATTAAGTACCTTTGTTACAACATACTGCCAAATTTCGTGTAGTGTTCATTTCGCTATTGCTTTAGAAATTTAGTGAAATATAAAATTTAACTATCGGCAGTCATTGCGACTAAAAACTCATCGTTAGTATCTATCATAGTTTTTTCTCAAAAATATAATATTAATATGCAGAAAACCTTTAATTAAACTAATCTTGCCCGATATCGTAAACACGATCGTTTTATCAACTTGAATTAAATCTCTGTACTTTTTCAAGAATGATCGGTTCTGATTTTACAGCAACCCGTTTATTTTTAGGATATTACGTTGACACCTCGCCAGTTATTTTGACGATAGTATTCATGATATGGGCCACAATTTAATACAGCAAATCACTGATCTATTGGCTTTTGACTTAAACAAATGAGTACAATGTCATTACATTAGAAATAATAGTCGCCCTTCCATTTTGCAAGACGATATTACTTGGATGAGGATTCATTCGACAATTATCAAGTAATTTGTCTAAATATCGGATAAAGTGAGCTCGATAAGTATACTCATGATAAATACTGAACCGCATATCCATCCTGTGACGTTGTTGTGGGCCCCAGCATCTGGTGTTGAACCACGTCGGGGCCGAGGAATTAATCCTAGCCCGATTACGTTCCCCCAATACCCCGATGAAGAAAATGAATGGAGAGGACTTGGACACAGCCGTTTACTTCAAAGCTCAACCACGTTGTTGTCATTGTGTCATGTGTTGGGTTTGCGCTTGTGTATTTATATCTCGGATGTGGGGGTCATAAAAACAGTAACATCGAGACCTATGTGTGGGGATACTCCAAAACAAGTATTCGTGCTAATGAGAAGGGAGTTGAGGAATCATGCAGCTGGTGACATGCTGCGACAAGGGAACCCTGTGTAGGAGGCTGAGTGACCGGATTAAGGGGCTGAATAGACATGATTCACAACAACATATTTGGCGTACATAAATTTTGGAATTCTAAATGATTTTTTTTCTAACTTGGGTGTGCATGCAGTAAATAGTTTCATGTAGTGTGAATATTGTGTATAACTATGCTCAGTGAAGAATATGAATCTACAAATGAATCATATAATCTATTTATTGTCCAGTTTATCGTTTGGGTTACCATCCTTCCATTTCTGGATAAACATTACTGGAATAGAACAAACTATATTTTCAAATTCAGTGTGAACATTTTTTTTGCATTTTATTAATGGAAAAGTATGTGATTTTGCAGGAAAAGGTTTAGATTATTATGGACTTAATTGTGCTCTTTCCGCAGTTATCAGCATATACGAGAAAAAGCCTCCGCCTCTACATCCGTTTCATCTCTACTTTAAGGAATCGTAGCAGTTACCAGCCCGAATTTCAGTTTTCTGTAGTTTCCAAACTCCTTAACGTTAAAAACATCTCTATATCACCACCTACACGTTACTTATTCAAATGTTTAATTTACCAACACTTTTAGGCGTAATATTTCAATGGTCGATGGATTTCTTTTTATTGACCTAAAAAACGATTAAATACAATGCATGTTCTTTTGTGCAAATCACAAGCAGAGGCCAGTGAAATTGCAAACAACAATGAGAACTTCACACACAATTGAAAACGCATACTCGCTAACTGACTCGTTCCATTTCGGGCAACCGTTCGACTTATGCACAAATTTTAAAAGGCGTTATAATGCGCACCCGAATTGTAAGTCAAAGGCTTAGACTAAAGCAAAATGTTGAGCTTAACAATCTTATTGGGAATCCGGCTTTCAGACAACAAAAAGGGTTGGTTCAATTTAAAAAAAAGTGGGAAAGGAAGTGCGACAGTCAAAGTAGCACCACTCCATTTAGGCATGTCGCTCGTCGCAATCGACAACCTGTGCAGAATACCCGTGCCCTAGTATGAAGTAGACTGGTACAACAGAACAGGCTTTATTGACTAATCAAAAGCCAGAACCACACGCCAGGCACCGTCCATCCGAGTCCACCACTCTGCTCATTATATACTGCACCTCATTCGTGTCTTTCTCTGGTTGGCTGCTTATCTTCCTCGCATGACATTGGACCGCAGAGGGACACAGGATTGGCTGAGACCAGCGTAGTCCAATATATCTGCGCCCTCGAACGTCGCCACACCCGGTTGCGGAACACGCATCTATGTGGATGCTTTTTGTTACCCATGGGCAGATTGCTCTTGTCCTCGAATTCTGTTCTTCTACTTAACGTCTCAAGAACAGACCTTCGCTTGCTAATTTGTCAACCACTCAAGGACCCCTTATACATGTTGATCAGGTGACTTGGCAGTTAAGAAACAGCTGCCAACTTCATCGTTCCCTATGGATGTCTAGAGATTGCATTACTACACGCCGATCGTCAGGGCTCAGCAGCTGTCCGTCCACTAGTTGTTTAAAACTTTTGAGCACAATAACCCTTCACAATTCGACTTTTTCCTGACACTCTGGGACACTGCGCTTCTCAGCGCGTTGTTAACCTCATTCAATTTGATCACTGATTGGAAGACAGGGCGCTGCCTTTGCGACAAAATTTGTGCTAGGTGTTATTACTGTTGGGGCAATAAAGGCTCCAGTTGTCGTTAACTGAATGAGTACAACAAAATCAAAACAAGAAAGTAATCAAACGCGCAGACGACGCATTGAGTGGAGAAGCGCAACCAGCTGTAAATTAACAACCATCTACATTTTTATATTTAGATAGTAAAGTACAAAAAAACGGATAAGTGGATAGGATTGGAAGAAATGCACATAACAGGTTGGAAATGAAACGTATTTGGAAAGACGCTGTGGTACAAAAAAATTGGCGGGATGATTATCACATTTCCAGACAAACGCAGCAGCAAATCGCCCGAGGTACAATCCCTTGATCATCCTCGAAGGTGGACACCTCAGACCTCACAAAAAAAACAACAGGCATAAGTATCCAACTTCAAGAAAACCGAGACCTAAGTGGCTTAGCTACCTAAGGAAACAACGTGAGTAGTAGAGAAAAGCGGTCTCTCTTAAATTTTAAATACTCGGTGGCATTAATGCTGCAAAGTGACACACGCCAACAACAACAATCCTTACATTCCATACGCACACCAAAAACATGGAGGTAGGGGTGCCTTTTTAGACCACGATGGCTTACCAGAGGTTGGTCTCGGGATCGTAGCAATGGATGGAATGACGAGGTGCCGTGGGTCTTCTTTCACCAGCACCCAAAAACTTGGCGAAGCCACCGAGGACGTAGAGACGGCCATCCACCCAGGCACAGCCGCAGTGCACGGCCGAATGCGACACCGACGAGGCGTCTGTGCTCCCCGCAGTCCCGCTGAGGGATTGCAACGTCCGTAGGGACTGGCGGTGGAAATCCAACACCGAAAGCTCCCCACTCGCCTCCCAGAATATGTACACAAGATTCCCTGACTGTAAATGTAAGGCCGTTGGTGAACCTTCAGGTCATAAAAACGGTGCATGCCTCTATCCACACTCCCACATGTTCTGCCATCAAAAGCGAAGTGGCCATGACTGCCGAACACAAATTAAGGCCAAATTTGATGAATTAGCTTCTGAAATTATTTTGACACTCAACCAACACCAGGTGCAAGTAAACTCCAATGAGGGAGAATTGATGCATCAGTCACGATTTACTGAGTTAAAATCGAAAAAGAACTTTACAGAAGCATTCAACTTATGATATAGAAAAAAAGATAGCCAGGATATGTTAGAATTAGACTAAGATTGTTTGAACACAGAATCAGAAAATCATTTTAATTTTTTTACAACCACACGCACATCGCCCAATAACCAACCTGGTTTGTGACGCACTTGGCATACCGAACAGGTCGCATAAGTGCGATGTAGTCGGCCGAGGAGTGGACGGTTAGATCTGATTTGATCTGATAGATGGCCATTTTCTCAGTTACTACGTTCGACTGCACATCCAATGTGCCGCCAAGCTCGACTAGGGTGAAGTTCGACGCCCCCTCGCGTCGACGACCTGAAAAAAATCAAGCACACACTTGTAACGCTTTCCCAAGTTGACACGTTTATGCTCCAAGTAAAGTAAATACGCAAAGAAGGCTCAATTACAATGCTTGGGCCTCAGAACTTGATTCCGTGCGGTCTCCGTTTTGATGACGTCGACGTTCCAAGGAGTTAATTGATTCGAAAATCAAGAACGCAATAAAATTGAAACGGGTATTGTGAGAATGGAAAATTAACGTGGCGTAAGGCGACAACGACCAGACTCCCATTAGCTTGGAACTATTATGGTGCCATGAATAATGTGTGACAACGTCACATGAACAAATATGTGAATAGCTGAATGTGTGTGTGGTGTGTGAGTGAAGTGCTTTCCGGATACATTGTCCAGCCATCGCCTATGCGTCCGGATGAATAGCAAGGAATGCCTACAACGGTGTGTTGCCTTGATTTTTCTTGAGCCATGTGTTATGACTTAAAAGATCCACAACAATGGATGTCAGGCTGTAGCCATTATTGCCTACGTGAGGCACAAGAAAACGCTTCCTGGACGGCTCTGGAGGGGCACGTGGTAACACCTACTGCGGAGTCTCCAGTCAATCAAAATTACACACAAATTTGAAACTGCCACGATAGACGTACAGACATTAATACAGCCATCAGGAGACGAAATTACGCGTTTATAACCAACGGTAACACAAACGGTATTACCAGTGACCATTTGTATCTCAAAATTTGCAAGAAAGGGAACTTGAGACCGGAAATTGTGTTGAGGCAACCGAGTTGGTTGCCGTTGGCCATACACTCAGTCAGCAACATGGTTCGAGTAATAAGCGTCACTTTCTGGACTTGTTAGATAGTAGAAATTTTAATAATTCCTCCTGAGTAATGCGTCTTGACATGAGGCGGTAACACTATGCCCATCCTCACTAACATTCACGAAGACTAAACAGGCAAATCAGTACGAACATGCGAAACAGTCACCTGCCATCAAATAACAGTCATCGTTCGTCGTCTGAGGAAACACCACAGCAATCGATGACATCTGGCGAGGGGTTCGAGCAGTGCCCACGTTGACCCATTCATCCAATGCCACGTCGTACCGGTCGATGGACTTGACGAGGACAAGGCTCGGCACCTCGGTGCCCGGCAAATTCCCCTCCCCCTCCTCCTCCTCCTCTTCTTGCCTCAAGGAATGCGCCCCCAGGCCTGCAGGGGGAGCAGAAGCAGAGGTGGTGGCGGCATCCGGTGCCCGCGCCACTGTCACCCCCCCAAGGACGAACACGTAGCCTCCCTGAACTGACACGGAGGCGTGACGGGCGCGACTGGTGGGCATTTCGCTGCCCCTTGTCCACCTGTTCTCCTCAACGGAAAAACGGTACACTGTTGGAACGACCACGCCAGCCTACAAGGTGGATGTGAAAAATAAATAGCAGCTTTTGTCAATTAGGCTTGTGTCGTTCTACAAGTGTGTTTGATTTAGCGTGATCAAAAACATGACTTGCTCTCTAAATCGCTCAGAAACGAGAGTTAGGCGGGACATATCAATTAATGAACACGCATCGACTCGAAACACCGAGATATAAACTAAGATTTCCAACACCGAAACGACCAAGTAGTTTGTTTTCTATTGGAAAACAAATTCAGCAGACATACCTTCTTCCACTGCACTACACACAATTTGTACTATAGGCTGGGATTCCTGATGATACAGAAAGCTTTAGCATTTGAATAAGTGGGAAATACTTTGAAATAAAAATGAGAACTCACTCGAATGCCGCCAGTGATGATAAGGGTGTTGTTTGCAACTGTCGCCGAGAACCAAGTCAGACTGTCTGCTGGCAAGGCCGGACAGGATATGCAGCGTCCTCGGGCGAATGAGAAAGCATCGACAGAATCAAGAATAAATCCGGAACTCATCCCACCGATCGCGACGAGTGTCGGGCGCTTTAGCGTGGAGGGTCGAGGAAGGGTATCAGCGGAGAAGGACGCGCCGTTGACATGACTATCGTCAGGTGCACCTTCGATTCTGTTGACCACCTGTTGAATGTACAACAAAGCGGCCGGGGACTCCTAAAATACGTTGAAGAGTGGCCACACTTGAGTCGCGATGTCAACATTGGTTCTTCAAAATGATGATTGACTATGCACGCCTTTCGGGAGTTCGTAACGTACTCGACGAGTTTAAAATCAATGAGAGGACATTGGTAGATTCGAGCAACGCACAACCTAAAATACCGGATAAGTGCGCACGTCGTGGTAGAAAGCCGCTGGCCAGCCGAGTGGGTTCCCGAAAAGACTGACCGCCATTTATAAGTAGCTGTTAATTTACAGTGTTGCTCGCACTTACACGGAGGGTTAAAGGAGGAGAGCAGATGTAGGTGCGTAGGATTGTAGAGGGCAACTGATGGAGTCTTACAAGACGAAGGAGGGAGGGCAGGTGAGTAAGCCGAGTCTCCGGTTCATGTGAGACCCAGGCAAGACAAGCGTCCAAGACATCTTGTTCAGAACGAACTTCGAGGTCATCTGCAGAGAGGTAGGACTCGACGCTATTCAAAGGTAGCCGCAGCCATTCACCACTCGTGGATGCGTCACGACTGACAAGACTTGAGGGAAAAGTGAGAAAAACGGTCTGTCATAAACCGATACTTCAATTACGCAGCACCACCTAGGACTTGAAGACCGCAACATCGTGAGTTACACTGCTACAGATATTCAGTGACGAATCGCGTATTTACGGAGGATGAATACAGACCTGATCCGTGAATTCATGGCATCGTGGACGAAGTAGAGAACTTTAAGCATCCACCTCCGATTTCACAGCTAACGATTTTGGGCCAACAGATCTCATGGCACTTCAACGTGGATGAATTCTGACTTGAGAATCCGGTTCAAAACCAAATGTCTTGTGATTCTTACTTGTAGGGTTTTATTAACATCACCGCTTTAGTACTCGAAGTGACTTGACACGTATTAACAGACCTGTTCTAAGGGAAATTCTTAGTCAACAAACTCACTGAGAATTATTGGACATTAAATTAATTAATTATTAGTGGCGGATAATCACATCTGCAAAGTTAGTACCTGATGCGACCATGTGATCAACTAGGAATGCACTTCATACACGCCGGTAGGACCAAGTCAATAATATTTTAGTGTTAGAGTGGTAAATATTTATTTAGTATGGGCGTTGTCCTAAATGCCGTTCTAAATGGTCAACTAAACAAATGGAGTCCTTAGACTGGCCATATAGTAGCCAGTCGAATCCCCTAGTTAACTGTAAAACGCCAGTTACATCCAGGATTTTATGCAACTAAATCAATGACTGATTGAAGAGATACAAAAAAGTGAAGAAGATTGGCTATTTTGTCTAAACGGCCTCTCGGGACTGAAAGACTTTCGGGAGAAACATCGTGGAATGATGAGGACCAATAATCAGTGCCGACATATTACAAGTGAAAAAGTGACATACCTGGAGAAATTCTTAACTGCAATTGAGCGGGCACTTTTGACTAAGTCGGGGAAGTCATACGTCTCCGCTAGAAGTTGCACACCAAGGCAATTGGAAACATGTAGGTGTTCCTCCATAAATTTGATGCATGCATCAACTGCTAGAGGATAGTCTAGGAGGGTTGCCGCAATGAATATGTCCTGAACAACTGTGGTGCTTAGAGACAAATAGCCAGTGTACGCAAAGTCGATTAGATGACGCAGAGCCCAAGGAGAAATCTGTTTCAGATTTACCCTCGAAGTCCGTTGCTCCGAGAATGGAGTTAAAAACATAGCCTTTGATAAAAAAAGGGAAGTAGTAATTCTCAAAGCGTTGCGTTTATCAAACACAGGAACCAAATTTATAATGCAGGAATTGTGTGATTGAAAGCTGGAGCCAATTCTCCCGTAGAAGCTGACAAACAACTTAACATATTAACCTACTGACTAATAAGTGACATGTTTACTTATCAAGATTAGGAGAAAGTTGGCAGAGGCCAATGTTTAAGATGTTCGACTCATGTATTAATGGCAATTTGATTCCAAAAACAAAAAGATTGGCAGATTAATATCTAAGGTTAGCCAAATGAACACTAACGTTTTGATGCAATGACAATGGCGTAGGTAATGAAAGCACTGGACCAAATAAAATTAGGTAAGGCATTAAAAATCTGCAACCAGTAGTAATAAATAATGTGCATTCTACAAATCCTTGGGAAGGCAGTATAGTGTGGCTACACGCTTCGAGTAACGTAAATAAGACTCTTTCAAGATATGACGAGAAATCACTGCGCACCTAGTAACGTGCCTAACACTGCAATGAAAGAGTGACTTAGCTACAAACAAATAGTGTCTTCTTGGATATGGATTTATCACTTGACACAAGGTAAAGTTTATTACACCGCGCTTATATGAAGTGGAAGAAACACAAGCATTTAAAAAGTAGACCATTCAACAGGACAAGAAAGGTGACTGGATTAAAAAGGTGAAGTAAATTTAAACTGCCATATTGTTCTGGGTCCGGATAAAAGTAAAACTGTTAAGAAGGTGCCACAAACACAATAAATAAACACTAAAGCAAAAAGAGCATTAGGCCTTACATTAAAATAACGAGAGCTTGCAGCTAAGACCACTTTATGGCAGGGAAATTCCTCGTCGCATGCACACAAAATAATATCGGTATACAGTCGTTTTTTTCGCAAATCCTGAAGACCACTTAGAAGAGACGCAACTTGATTCTGCATACATCCCTTGAAAAACAAGGTTTCTTGTGAAGAAGCCTCTAGAGGCTTTTTAGTAGATAAAGAAGCTATGGAAGTCATAATATTCCGAATGTACTAAAAAACGAGGAGTCTCGAAGACGATTGGCTCGTCGAAAACATTATGATTAGGTGGCTATATCAGATTGATTATAACAAGGCAATTCCACTTTATTGGAGAGAAATTTTGATATTTTTATTATTTCTTGTTAGATGTCGCTGATATAAGTAGAGGGTGAATTAAAAAATATGTCAATTGACTTGCATTTAAATGCTAATGTAGATTTTTTGGTAAGGATTACTCATTCACGGTTTAATATGAACATTTAGGGTCAATAGTCAAAAAAAATACAATTAATCACAGAGGTGTGCATAAGTATAGACGTAAATATACTTAGGACACATATAAATTCAGTAATTTTTTCACGAAACATTTTGGTCATCTGTTACCAGCATGTGTGATATTTGGTCAAATATGTGGTCCTATTGAACAACTAAAAAAACAAATGGCTTTCAATTTTTGAATAACAAAGAGTAACGTTGTTGTGTGCATAAGGGGAGAAAACATGGTTATATTTCAGGCGCAATTAATCCTCGATTTATTTCATTTCTCTTGCCGTTTTGACATTTGTGTGTAAGAAAAAAACCAGGCTTTTTCAACTTTTTAATATATTTTTATATTTTTTGTAGTTTGTATTCGCTTGACTAATACATGTTATGGTTTGCTTTGTTGGCATTGTTCCCACACAAGCAGTAAGTTTTGTTTTACTTTTTCGCAGGTAAATTAAATGGCCTTGTGCGTATCACAATTTTCGCGTCCTCCGAGGGGTTGTGATTCCTGTTGTTTTGAGTATTGTATTATCGAGATACAGCAAAAATACCATGAATGATGAATCTGCAGACATTGTGGACTCTGTGGAATTACTTTCAAGGGAACCGATGAACCTTGAGCAAATCAAGTTAACACTTGGCACTCTGCGTCTTGATCCTGCAGACAGGGCAGTTATTCGTGTTGCTGGTGGGTGATATTTTGCTATAGCATTAGTGAAATAAGTTATTTTTCTCATAGCAAGGTCAACAAGTGTGTTTTCGATATGCGTTCTCAAACGGTTATCTCATTGAATGCTTTTGATATTTCTCCTTGATTTGGCCATATTTTATAATTGTTTGTTAACTTACGGTTGTTTTGATTCTTAATGTGCACAACCTTTACTGTCCTATATTCTGTGATACCTTGTTATTAATAATTAGTTAGGTTAAATTCTAACTTGTAGAGTATATTAGTTCCATTTGCCTGTATGTTTTGTATTTTGTTTCCACATAAACTCCTCAATTGGATTTCAACTCACAATTTACGGGTCTACAAGCATTACATATTGACTAAACATGTCTGAAGTGTTTTCTGAACCCTTCTATATGGTGGTCTCTTATTTAATAACCTCTTTTAATCTGTCCCGATGTTGTAAACTACAGATTGATTAGATTCGGCAACATTTTGATTTATTTGAATAATGAAGTAAGAAGTATTTGCTAAAGGCATTGTTTCCTGTGATATTTCTTGAATGCTTTGCGAAATTCATTAATGTATTTTCAATATCAGTCTTGCAGAGTAAAACCAAATTTGACGTAACTCACGTGGCAAATGGCATTTGAAAATTAGTAGAACTTGAAATATTCTTGTTTCCTAAATTCAAATATTGCAACGAAAATCACGCCATGGTCGAGTTTTATGGAAATATTTTGTGTTTTTTAATGTATCTATGAAGTGATAACGCGAACGACTTGTCTAGTGAATTCCTGGACTTCTGAACTGATGTTTACGTAACATAATCTTGGTCTCAGTTTTTAATAAGTAAACGTGTGTTAGTCTACGTAGTATGTGTGTTAAATACTCAATATCATTAAAAAAATAATATTTCGTCCGTCTCGTGAAACCTATACTTTCCAACGACACCCACTGTTTGCGTACGAACATGATATCAGGTTTGTAAATGCTTACTTTCAAATATATTATTCTCTATTCTTCCGCGGAATTCCAAATGCCCAAAATCTTACTGGCTTTTACTATTTAAGACATTGACATTCAGAACTCAATTTTTTTGCATTCACTCATTCTACCAGGCAAATTTTATTTGCACATGTCCTTTTACCAAAACGGGTTTCTTCAATCTGTCGTATTTGGGCGTGTGTTTTTAACTCAACGGTTTTGGGACTCGTGAGACTTAAAACACTCTCCTAACTTATTTCAATGCCATTGCGGTGTCATTGGAGTTGCATCAAAGTGTCCCATAAATTTAGGTATCCTAGGTTACGCTAAATGTTGTTTATAATGCAAAATTGGGGTTCCCCTGTTTTTGTTTGACTCGAACAACAATGTGCTCAGTTGCATTCCTGTCATTTTAGACCAAAGAGATGCCATGCAAAAACGCGCCTTCACAATTTGGGTCAACAAGCGTTTGACAGAGGCGAGTCAAAGATTTAAACTTAAAATATTTTATATAATCTAAATGCTTATATTTTTGCTTTTTTTTCTTAATTTTCACATACTTAATTATTTTATGGATGTTGTTCATACTGGATAGATTTTATGTGATATTCGTCGTCCCGGAATTTTCAGTTGAATGCTTGTACAAATATTTTATTTCACCAAGGCACATGGTGACTCATCGCTTTTCCTATCCAGGCAAAATAAGCAAATTACTCACCAAGTTGACATCGAACCAACACAACGCGGCATTTCGTTCCCCATTGTCTAGTAAACCGTTTTATGGAAATATCAGTGAAAGCGTATTTCGTGTTCAAAATGTTCGTATCTCATTTATCCTTTAAAATTCCAAATTATACTAAAGTGGTGATACCCTTCTCATGTTCATCAATTGACTTACTGCTTAAACGAATAATTATTCATTAGTCCTCGCAAATTGGCCAATGCTGTTTCTTAAAATTTCTGCACACACGCTTTCATATGCACTGTTGCACAATTATTTTAAGTCTTGAAACGCTGCGGGTCTCGGTTTTGTGTCGGTGCGTCACGTTTTAAATTCTGTAGTAATACTTGTAGGGAGCTGCATATGTCGAAAAAAGCATCTCAGTATGCTTGCAAATTGTGGTTGTGGCCATCGTTTGGGTTCGTTCAATACGAGCTGCATTGTGTGTACGTGTTTTGACACGAAAATGGTTCCGGTGAATCCAATGTTTTCTGTGCCAACTATGCTCTTAGGAACATGAGTCACCGACTGTTGTTTATCCCCATGATTCCCAAGCATAAACTCAAATTCATGCTGATTTAGCGGCTAGCGACTGTCGAGACCCCAAGTCCTCAACGGTAACATATAACCTGACATCGTTTCTATTTGACAGAAGGTAACTTCGCATTAATCTCAATCAGGGGAAACCAGATTTGAGATTTCAACCCCCCACACGGTTTCAGCAAACAACTTACTATTGTTTATCTGGGAGGCTTTGTTGTAAGCCTACAACTAATTTGATTGGTATTAAATGCGATTGATCATTTGCGGTTGTGACGTAGAATCTCATGCACACAACATGCGCACAACTGTGGAAGGTGTGCGACAATCAGATGGTAGGCCTCTTTTATTTAAGTCGTGTAAATGTGACTTATCAGTATAACTCATAAACACTTTAACTTACATTTTTGGCAATCAAAAAAATTTTCGTCTTGCTCTTTCGGACTTTGCATCACTCGGTATCAACATTTCATTGATACTCGGTGAATATTGGTAACCATGGCTTAAAGTAACAAAGTTGCATAATCAGATAATTCACTTAATTGCAGACTCTCTACTGTTGTGGTTACTTCCCTTGTGTAAACGTCTCACACTGAGTCTCAAAACTCATTTGGTGCTCCATTGAGAATTTTCAGCCTTCTTTTGTTGGAAGAAGTAGGGTTTGTGCAATACGGACTGACCAATCCATCATGCGCTTTTAGCATCCCACGCGTTCCGCCACTAAAATTCCATGGATCCAGTGAATCTGTCTGGTTAAATTGAACCAGTACTTAATGCGAAAATGTTATGCGAATCAGTGATTGACGCAGCCTATTTTATTACCGGTTCATTTGGTCCGAGTACAACAGGTAATGAACATTCTGGATGGGAATTTTAGTGGTGTCATCACTCTTTAAGTTTTCTCGCCGCATGATCATCATCATACTAAATCGGGCTGCGAGTTTCAAAGGTCTCCAAGTCTAATTTAATATTCATTTCAATTGAATTTACGGCGAAACGCCTCTGCCATGCTTGAAATAGGTCTTTTTTTGTATTTTTGGACAATCTGTCAGGCGTTGCTAATAAAAAAAAACGCTTTTTCCTGCAGGTATTGGACAGACGTTTGTGCAGTTTGGCGCTGATTTCCATAAATAGCTTTTCTCCTTTTTAAATGTTTGCGTCCCTGTCATGGTTTTGGTATGGCTGATTTTTCCCAGGTTTAGGAGTGAAAGACATAACTACCGTGTCGCAGTACGATAGCCCGTGTGATGTAAACCCGATTTATAAATCATGGAAGCTTAACACGTTAGGGGTGTTTGTCAACGTGCAAAATCTGTGAACGTGTGAATCCTGACTTGTGCCACTATTATTTGTTTTAATCCGTCGAGACTGAAACCCGTAATCGTAGCTCCTCATGCCACACAAATGAGCACACTTTTCATGTGACTGCGTCGCATTGGTTAGCATTAACGGCTTATTTTGTCCAGTTTAAATAGGCAGAATCGCTTTCAGTTGCAAAAACACTTACCAACATCTGTGGATAAAATTATAACGTGAAAACCTCACGACTCTAGTTGTTGGGAAATTCGACAGTACATAATCATTTCCTCACAAAACTCGTTTTTTCGACTTTTCCGAAACTCAGACTCATGGGTTACGGGGTTCTGCTGAGACGGGTCGGTTGTTAGAGGGGATATCGTACGAGACCACACCGTCTGTGCCTCCTGGGATGTACAGAAACTAATAAAACACTAAATAGGACAAGAATTAGCCGTGAAATTGACTTTGGGGCCGTTTGATTATCCCACTAAAACTATGTGTCTTTACAATTCCAGC